CCAGGTTGAGTTGAAGGTGATGGTCCGTCATCCAACAAGAAATGTCTGTTAGACATGCTGAGATGCAAGCAGCTATCGTCGGATCATCAGGATGGAATAAGAGGTAGAGTTGAGTGTCATCAGCATAGCAGTGATATTAAAAGCCATGTTTCTGAATGACAGAACCTAGTGATGCCATGTAGACAGAGAAGAGAAGTGGTCCAAGAACTGAGCCCTGAGGCACCCCAGTAGTTAGATGTAGCGACTTGGACACCTCACCTCTCCAAGATACCTTGAAGGACCTATCTGAGAGGTAAGACTCAAACCATGGAGTGCGGTTCCTGAGATGCCCTTTGCCAAAACAGGAGGATTTGGTGGTTAACCGTGTCAAAAGCAGCGGACAGATCCAGCAACATAAGTATAGAAGATTTCAAATCCGCTCTTGGCGGTCTTAGGCAAGGCAACTGAGAGCAAGGCACTCTCGGTTGAATGTCCACTTCTGAAACCAGACTGGTTGCTGTCGAGGAGGTTGTTCTGTGTGAGAAAGGCAGAGACTTGGTTGAACACAGCCTGTTCAAGTGTTTTTGCAATGAAAGGAAGAAGCAAAAAAAGTGTTTTTGCAATGAAAGGAAGATTGTAAATATTTTACAATCCCACAACTGTGATTTTATGAATTCCTAGAAATTAACATAAAATATCAATTAAACAAAATGTATCAAATAAATAAACTTTGGGTAACAGGCCTGTAAATTTAGTGTAATTTATTAGTGTAACTCTCATTTATAGTTACTTATAAACTTTTTTAAAATATTTTTTATATAATATTTTATAATAAATATTATATATTTAATGAAGTTATTTTCATGCTAACTTTGGTAACAGAGTTGATGAATGCACTCAATACTACACAAATGTTTGTATGCAATTGTCTACCTCTTATTACATTAGGGTTTACTCTCTTTGATTATTTATGATTTACTGAAAATTAAAGCTTTTTACATTCATTTTAGACTTCATCAAAGAGGAGGAGACTGAAGACCTGAGTGAAGCAGAGGAGAAACATCATCATGTCAAATCTTTGAGTCACTCACAGACTGAGAAATTTTTTTCCCTGAAAATAAGATCCAAAAAATCTTTCACCTGCCTTCAGTGTGGGAAGAGTTTCAGACATAAAAGAAACCTTAGTGAACACATGAATATTCACGCTGGAGAGAAACCACACACATGTGATCAATGTGGAAAGAAATTCAGACATAAAAGAAACATTAATGAACACATGCAAATTCACACTGGAGAGAAACCACACACATGTGATCAATGTGGAAAGAGTTTCAGACATAAAAGAAACCTTAATGAACACATGAAAATTCACACTGGAGAGAAACCACACACATGTGATCAATGTGGAAAGAGTTTCAGACATAAAAGAAACCTTAATGAACACATGAAAATTCACACTGGAGAGAAACCACACACATGTGATCAATGTGGAAAGCGTTTCAGACATAAAGGACACCTTAATGATCACATGAAAATCCACACTGGGGAAAAGCCACACACCTGTGATCAGTGCGGGAAGAGTTTTGCACATTTAAGTTCTTTTAAATCACATCTGAATTCTCATTCTGGAGAAAGACAATATAAGTGTGATCAGTGTGGTAAAAACTTTTCTCTGGCAAATTCCCTGAAGCACCACTTGAAAGTTCATTTAAAGGAGAAGCCTCATGTGTGCTCTTTGTGTGGAAAGAGTTTTAGTCAGCTGAGTTATTTAAGAAAACACCAGCAAAGACACAGCAACGTGAAGGATCTTAATGTGCTTTGATTGTGGGAAGACCTTTATTACAAGTGATGAACTGAAACAGCACCAGAGAATTCCCAGTGTCCCCACAGGATCCAGGGGTATGCCCCCCCGTAAGAAATTTTTGTTCATTTGAAATTTAAATGCATAAATCTGGTGCATTTTGAGAGCAGAATCAAGTGACTAGGTCAATGAAGATAATGTGCTCTTGTAAATTGTGTGCTCTAGTAGTAATTACTTTATTGGTTGCATAGATGTGAATGTGATGGTAGGGCTCAATTTTCACTATATAAATTCTTTAAAAAGCTACAAATGCCATTCAGTCAATAGCAGGGAGTGATTTTCTCCTCGTCTTTTGTTGTTTGATTATCATTAACGCTGACACTTAACTCAAGAGACGAGACGAGACATGAGATTGGGATCACAAGAACGAGACGAGGCGGGATTTTTACACATTTAAAAAAAATTCTCAATGATCAAATAGGCTACATGACTGTAATAATAGTCTGCAGGTGCATTTTGAATTGTTTTAACTAATCATCTGGTAATAAATGTCATTTCAGTTCTACTTTCTGAGTATGAATTATCATATGCAGTAAAATACAACAACATGTACATGTACAACACTGTATGATTTCATTTGAATCTCTTCAGACCTTAAAACTACATGAATTATAAGCTTCTACAACTTCTGACCTCCTAACTGAACTCCTTTTCAGAAATTAAACATAGAAATAAAAACAGTATAAATAACCAAAAATAAACAACACAGTTATTTCTTAGCTGTATTAAGTGCAAACAATAAGTGCAGCCATAATCAAATAGGCTACTCTCTCAATATTCAAAGTGCAAATTTGCAAGCATGACACAGAGCTATAGACAGCTGCACAACCTATTATACATAATAATAACAGCCTATATATGTTATGTAGCCTAATTTGCACGCATCAGGGAGTCACTCTTAAAATGTGGGGTATTAGAATCGCTTTTGAATGTGCGTGCGCGTTTTACTTTCGATTTCGATTTAAGGATTGCGCGAAATACAAGACATTAATTTTGTCAGATGCTTGCAACGAATTCTTATGGACAAGTGAGGGTCTTTTTTGTTCACGCTGAAGTAAATTTAAAATAATATAAAAAAAACAGTCTGGCCAATCTGAGGCCCCTGCAAACGGGGGGCCCCTAGGCTGCAGCCTAAGCAAGCCTGTGCATTAATCCGTGCCTGCATTTGGCCAGGAAACCTGAAATCACATGAGAGAATCCACACTGGCGAGAAGCTGCATGTATCACTGACATCCATGTGGGAAAACTTTCACTCGTTTTAAAGGGGTAATATGACGTTGCTAAAAAGAACATTATGTTGTGTATTTGGTGTAATGCAATGTGTTTATGCGTTCAAAAAAACACATTATTTTCCACATAATGTACATTATTGTTGCTCCTCTATGCCCCCCCTTTCTGAAACGCGTCGATTTTTACAAAGCCCATAGTTCTGAAAAGCGAGGTCTCCTCTATGCCCCGCCTTTCTGAAACGCGTCGATTTTTACAAAGCCCATAGTTCTGAAAAGCGAGGTGTACGCTGATTGGTCAGCTATCCAGTGTGTTGTGATTGGCTGAATACCTCAAGCATGTGATGGAAATGTTACCCCCTTAACATACTTTGATGCCCTGTGTCCCGGGCGCGACAAGACAAAAACAATAAAACCCATTATAAACGAGGCATTTGTTGCATCCAGTGGGGACATAATTACTGATTATAATGACTTATACTGTCGTTGTACGCATTGCGTAGCATATCGCGCTGCCTAAACATAAAACCATGTCTGCATTTGTGATCGGAGAAACGACAAACAACAAGCTCTAACAGTTACTCTACACTGCTCAAAACTCGTGTTTGAATCATCAGTGGCAAATTCTTTAATATAAAAAACGTACTTACAGGCTGTGAGTCAGAAGCGCCAGAATGTCCTTGCAAAGTTGGAATTGAGGAATGGACGGCGGTCTAGAGTGAGGAATGGACGGCAGCCTAGAGTGAGCGGCGGCCGGTGGGCTTGAGAACGGCGCAGCCGGCGGATTCGACGAAGGAGCGGCCGGCGGGCAACCACATGTGACGACCCGGGCTGGACTCCCCTTTGTCCACGGTGAAAGCCGATCCGGCGATTCACAGTGCGAAGTTGATGTATTTCCTCAGCGACCAGCACGGATCAGCTCTAGGCATGACGAAGCGGATATCGTCCTCTTTTGGAAGGCCAACCAAAGTAGTTTCGCTTTCACAATGAAACACACAGCATCTCCACAACAGCGGCAGCAACAATACTACAGCAAGAATAAAAGTTACACCTCCTTTCTTTGCGTGAACATTTGGGCGGTGTTATGCAAATCTTCCCACATTGTGACGTAGACATGTGGGGGTGTGTTAGAACGAGCCGTTTTAGGTAGGAGTGGTTGACTTAACTTTTATAAAGAATATCTCTTTGGATTTGAGACTTTAGTCTTTGCAACTTTACAGATCTTCTTTATGCACCAAGAGCTTGTAACACTCCAAAGAGAAAGGAAAAATTTAAATCGCATAATATGACCCCTTTAATTCTCTGCTCAGTCATAAAAAAAAACAAATGTCTGAATCAACTCTTTCAAGTGCAATGCTGCATCTTCACCAAAAGTGTCCCAATCATTTTTATTTATGATTTTAATAATCATTGTGCTTTATTATGATTTTTTTGTATTATAGTATTACATCAATCATGTTGTGGCTATTATGAAGGAAAATAGAAGATTTTTTTTAGCTTGTTCCTGTGCTTGCATGTCTAGTTCGGGAAGTGGATGTCGTAAACTATCATGTAGCTTTTCAACTGCAGCTTATTTGCTTCTTTTCTTCTTTTGGGATGCTTCAGCTGACACTGTATCGATATTGTGGCACGTGTGCAGCAGTGGACCGCGCTTAATTTGAATACAAGAACACAGTTTAAATGGAGTAGAAAAGTGCGAGGTTTCTAAAAAAAAATGAATAGAGCATAATATATAGGCTACAAGAAGGTTTAATCTGGCCGCAGAGGAACGCACCCGGGGTTGCCTGATATAAAGAGACGCAATCCCCGAAACAGAGCTTCCTATTTGCGCAATACGGAATTATCTGACAGGCGCTTTCTCCACTGTGTTTAAACGTGCTTTCCTTCCGAAAACACCGGTTAGCTAGCGATCTCCTCTTCAATATGCTATTCTCAGAAAAGTGTAATTCATCAAGTGTTAATTTACGAGAGAGAGGGAGAGGGAGGCTGAATTACCACCGTTTTGCCGCGTTTCTCTTTCGTTTCTTTCAGTGAAGCGGTGGCTTTAATTCGTTTAGAAACAATGATGTTACCAGCTCCTTGTTGAGAAAGAATGTAGCTCTTCGGCGATTAAGCTATAATTTTATTGATAAAATTGCGGGGCAGCACTAAAAAGTTTGTGTTGCTGAATGTCTGTGTGCGGCCACAACGTGTTTGAGTGACTGAGCGTGTGTGTGTGTGCATTAGATACAGTGAAGACAGCGCATTAGTTTAGAACTCTTCTAATTTATATTTTTATTGTTTAACCGTAGAGAGTGTGTTAATTTGTGCAATGATAAACTACCAGCAATTTAAAGTTGATTGTTTAAATGTAGGCTATTAGAATGAGTACATTACAATATAAATGTATTAGAACAAGTACATTATTATTTATGGGCTTAAAAACAAGATGCAAACAATCAGAATATCAGAATATTGTACCTGGTGGGCAGTGCCCAATGTAAACATGAAGCATATGCCATTACCTATGTTGTACTGTGGTACAGTTATGGAGGCCCTTCTTAATGCAGAGGTCAACTGCCTGCTCTGCCTAGTTAGCAATGGCCCTATATAGTATGCAGTGTTTAATAAACAGCTGTTTTACTAAATTCTG